AGACACACCTGGAGTCATTTTTATGCCTCTCAAACATAGGAAAAACGAAATTGCTGACATAGATGAGGTTTTGTAGAAACTGCAAGAAAGTCTTGGTATGAGATGAACATTACAAACCATGAAGTGATGTTTTTGCTTTGTCATGTATGCTATAATTTTCCATTAGAAGTGTGTATGAATTGAACAAAAGCAACCATATTTTTACAGAAAAAGAATGTAACAATGCTATAGTAAAAACCTATTGTTACCTTACAATGTGCAATGAAGTTTTCTTAGCAGATAAAACTTAATTTTTATCTTAACTGAAATTGGATATGATGGGGAAAATGTGTAATAAATATTCTTAAAATAATTGTAAAATGAAATAAGTATATTTGTGAAAATACATAATATTTTACAATAAAAATTGTGGAATGTATAATAATATGTATTATTTTCCTAACACAGACAAAACCATACTTTTTGTAAATTGAAGAGAAAATGAATATAACATTCTATAGTAAAAACATGTTACCTTACAAAGTTTTACATTTGCAATTCATGTACTTTATAATAATTGTAATTGTACATCTAAATATATCATTAAAAATATTTTAAGAAGTAAAAAAAAGTTGCTAGTAAATTTCACAAATAATTACAAAGAAATGGCTAGTAACACATTGAGTTATACGTGAAATTCTGAAGTAGACTGAGATAGCTTTTTTGTTTTGTTTTTGTAAAAAATACTCCAATAATCTTTGTTTTACTTACAACATGGAAAAAAATATTTTTTACAGCATATATAAATTTTAAGTTGCAGAGAAAATAATGTTAATATATTGTTGAAATGTTGAGTAAATAGTATGAATCTGTGTAAAGAGGGAGAACAAGAATATAAAGCAATTACAAACAATTAAAAAAAAATTTCTCTTCATCATTTTATAATGGCAACATGTGAGAGATTTAAGGGCCCAGAAAGGCCTACATTTTTAATGTCTTGGCCATTTATGTTCTGGCGGTGTTTTAGAGGTGGACATCGTCTGTCATATTCAGGCCACGTCTCCATGCCTCCACCCTCATCACATCAGAGAAGCCCTGCAGATGATCACTGAACAGGGTTGTGACTATGTGTTTTCGGTGGTTCGCAGACACCAGTTTCGCTGGGAGGAGGTGGACAAGAAAGGTATCAAAACATCTCATAAGGAAACAGTTGCAAATTTTTGCTTTGCATGAAATGTTTGTTACTTGACCAATAATTCCATTTGACATTTATGACACACAATCCTTCATGATCATTTTAATCAGACTGTAAGAATCCGACATCTCTGAACATTGACGTGGCGCACAGGCCTCGACGACAAGATTGGCCTGGGGAACTCTACGAAAACGGCTCTTTCTATTTTAGTACGAGAACGGCTTTGGAAAACGGCCTTAAACAGGTGAGGTATTATCAAAATATGTTGACAAACCTGTCCCTTGAGTTCTCATGTAAAATAAAGGTGAAAAACTATAAAGTAGTCAGACTCTGACTCCGACTATGTATACTGTATATATATATA